CCCCAGACTCCCCCATAACCTACCTATCTCCTCGCCACAGCCCCTGCAGACCCCCCCAGTACCCCAAGACCCCCGCAGTCCACCCCACAGCTGGGTGCAGGGCTGGCTGGGGGGGGGCATGGCCCCCCCCCAAGTCCCCGGGAAGGCCTTGGAGGAACCACATTTCATCCCTTAAAGCACCCCAGCAATAAGGGGGGGCTGCTGTTGGGCCACTCCCTGGGGGGGGGTGGGCGAGATTTTGGGGTGTTAAATACCCAAGGGGGGGGGCTTCCCTGCCCTGCACAGCCACAGGGGGCTGGGGTAAAATCTGGGAGGAGTGTCCCCAGATTGTGCCTCAGCCAGGTGGGCTCTGAGCCACACTGAGCCGGGTGGGGGCGGCCAGTGCCCGGACAAAGCCGGGGTTACTCACGAGGCATGAACCCCCACCCTGCTCCGGCTGGGCTCTGGGTGTCCCGTCCCCCCCCCCCAGGGGGGCAGCAGGGCAGGGTGGGGGGCCCTGGGCACCTTCCTTCAGCCGGCGGTCTGTCCATCTGTCCATCCACCCCTTCTTCTATCCATCCATCCGTCCCTCCTTCCACTCACCCACCCATCCACCCATCCATCCACCCAAGTGTCCGTGCATCCGTCCATCCGCCTGGCCTTCCTAACGCCCACCTGCCAGCACATCCATCTGTCCGTCCATGCATTCGTCTCTCCGTCTCTCTGTCTGTCTACCCAGGACCCTTAGGTCCAGCTATCCGCCCTCTCTTGCACCCATGTTCCCATCCACGCACCCATCTGTCCACCCGTAGCTGTCTTTTTGTCCATCCATTCATCCCCACCTGTCTGCCCATCCCATGTCTCTCCATCCCACATATCTCCATCCCACGTCTCTCCATCTTGCATCTCCATCCCACATCTCCCCATCCCACATCTCTCCATCCCACCCTTCTCCCCATCCCATGTGTCTCCATCCCACCTTTCTCCATCCACCCTCTGCTTCCCAAACTCCCCCTTCCCACTGCGCTGACCCCCTCCTCCCCACATCCCAGCTCTTCTCCTACATGCCGGAGGTGCAGCTCTTCTCCCAGCCCACCTTCTCCTGCTTCCCGCTGGACAACTAAGAGACGGTGATGGCCAAGGATGAGGAGGAGAAGGCCTTCCTCAATGCTGTCATGGCCATGCTGACGAGCTTCTTCCTCGCCAAGGATAGCGGGTGAGGATGAGGAAGGCTGGTGGGGTCGGTGGCCAGGTGGGGGTGTCTGTCCCCCTCAGGGCTGTCCCCCTCGGAGGAGGCTTTCCGGGTGGACCTGAAGGAGTCAGGGCCAGTGGGAAGGTTCTCGACTCCTCCAGCTTTGATCGGGGGTTCCATGGGAT